GCCTGCGCATCCGGAGCCTGTGCTCCGGATGCGCAGGCTCAGTGGCCATGGCTCACGGGCCCAGCCGCTCCGCGGCATGCGGGATCTTCCCGGACCGGGGCACGAACCCGCATCCCCTGCATCGGCAGGCGGACTCTCAACCACTGCGCCACCAGGGAAGCCCAATGTGAACCCTTTTTTTTCTGAATGAAATATTCTCACTAATGAATAGAAATTCTTGTTTTCCTTTGTTACCGTGAACCAGAATGGAAGAGGAGGAAACCCTTCCTCTTCACTTAATCTTCCCCTTTCTTTAAGACCCAACTTCTGTGACTGGTTCCCTCACCACTCCAACTTGTCATAAAATTCTTTTTACTCTGACTTTAATCGCAGTTATTATTAACACCAGTCATTTCGTATTTAATTATATATGGCCTTATGATGTCATTTGTCTTATATGGATGTTTTTTTCATCTACCGGTAGATGGTAAGCTCCAGGAGGGCAGGGAACCTTCTTTTCAACATTATATAATGGGAAATCCCCAGATCTCCATGGTGGAGAGGAAGTGGTGTCATCAACTTTCACATGCCTTTCATTCATCTTCACAGTGATCTGTAACCAATCTTGTTTCATTGAAAGCCCCTCACCCACCCCTTTACCCTAGATTATTTTGAAACAAATGTCAGGGACTGTGGTAATCTTGGTGTTCCCAGTAACATCCTAGCTCGGGAATCAAACTCAATAGGGTAGGGAAGCAATTATTCATAGTAGGGAACTAGCGCTATTATTGTAAACCTCATCTTCTGTACCCAGAAAAGTGAAAATGCTATTGCATTTATATTTATTTCATGTGCCTTCAAAGGATGAGCAATTTCAGGTCTTTGAATATAGAACCTGCATCATTATGCACCATAGCTTCTTTTTATTAAATTCTATTTCCCCTGGCACTGACTTCTCTTTGTTTTAGTGTCCTGCCTCAGGCTGGAGCTGTGAGGGGAAAACCTGTAATTCTTTGAGTTTGGCCCCTGTTGAGCTTGTGGAGAAAAGGGAAGTCTCTAGATCTGGATAGTCTACTCAATGACTGTGCCACTCATTGAACAGAATCTTTGATCTTGGTGAATCAGTCTCTCTGGGGTCATGAAAAAAGGAGACAAGATTTAGCACTCACTTTATCATGTTAAGGGCCATTTGAAATTAAGTCTGCTGGAGAAACTTGGGTCTACTTCATAGATTTTTTTAATTAATTAATTATTTTTGGCCGCATTGGGTTTTCCTTGCTGCGCGCGGGCTTGCTCTAGTTGCAGAGAGTGGTGGATACTCTTCGTGGCGGTACGCGGGCTTCTCATTGCGTTGGCTTCTCTTGTTGCGGAGCACAGACTCTAGGCATGCGGGCGTCCGTAGCTGTGGCTCGCGGGCTCTAGAGCGCAGACTCAGTAGTTGTGGCACGGGCTTCATTACTCCGCGGCATGTGGGAACTTCCCGGACCAGGGCTTGAACCCTTGTCCCCTGCGTTGGCAGGCGGATTCTTAACCACTGCGCCACCAGGGAAGCCCTACTTAAGAGATTTTTGAAATGCTGCTTCATGGGTAGGTGCTTCCGCCTTGTATTCTGTTGAAAGGATGAAGATACGGAGGCTTCCAGGAGGTGATGCAAAAAAAAATACGGATACAAAATAACATTGAGACTTCTGATTTCAAGAATGTGTTTTGTGTCAAAAAGTTTTCTCAATTGTAAATAAATGTGAAAACTGTTGCTATCATCAGTGAGTAGTCCAATCAAATAATTTATTCTGAACAACCATTTAGGTGTGCAGATCAGGAGCAGGTAAGGATCGGGCTTGGTGGAAGAGTGCAGCTTTGAGAAATCTTTAGGAATTAAGAAGATGGGATTGAGTAATACTTTTTGTATCTTCACATGTCCCTAACCTCAATCTGGGAATAAGCTCACCACCTCTTAATCTACTTTTTAACATGCCTTCCAAAGGCCATTTGTGGGTTTGTTCTCTTCCTCCATTAAAGTCATAAGAGACAGATACACCATCATTGAGCTTAGAATTTTGCTTTACAGTTTTCTATGGGCCTAAAGTATTTTTTTAGTGATGGGCTCTAGCCCACTGAATTACAAATCTGTGACCATTTATTATGTATCTGTTTGCAAGGACTGTGCTGGGGACTGTTGAGGGTTATGAGGTAAACTTTTGTTTGGGCCCTCTAGGAGAGACTCAGATGGCTACACAAGGTGGGAGTACATTAAGAGCCACAAGAAAAATCCACAGAAAGATTTATGGGGCTTCAAGTGGGTGAAGGATGGTAGTACATTTGGTGACAATTATCAGGGGCACCTTCATAGAAGAGGAAACTTTTGAGTTGAACATAGAATGGTATAGAATTTGGATAGGCAGATTCAGAGATACAGGAGGAAACAGTTCAAATTTTGATAACCTAGATGCTCTGGAACATTCTCAGCCTGTGAGTTTGGTACTTGATGAATCTGGATAAATATGCATCAATAAGTATAATTCCAATTCCAACATGTGGGGTATTCCCTCCATACCACCAAGCAATTCTCCCCCATAAACTGGGTGTTCTGCAGTTCATTTCAACTCTGACACTATGTACCTGGAGATAGCCTCAGATCACACAGGTTAAAGGCTCAGTCCTAAAAGACTGTCCCCTGCCCCCTTCAGCCTCCAGTGGCAAGTCCAGGTTGTCACCTCTGCTTCTGACCATAGATCAGAGGTTCCAATGCCCCCTCCTTGGGTTCGATTAATTTGCTAGAACAGTTCACAGACTCAAATGTTATACTTAATAGGTTACCAATTTATTATAAGAGGGTATAACTCAGGAACAGCCAGATGGAAGAGGTGCATAGAGGGCAAGGTATGGGGAAAGGGGCATGGAGCTTCCATTCCCTCTCTGAGAGAGCTACACTCCCTGCACCTGCATGTGTTCATCAACTTGGAAATTCTCCAAATCTCATCCTTTTGGCATTTTGTGGAGGCTTCATTCATTACAAGGCATGATTGATTAAATCATTGGCCATTGGTGACTGAGCTCAATCTTCAGCCCCACAACCCTTCCTGAGTGTGTGTGTGGGGGATGGGACTGGAAGTCCCAACTCCCAACCCTTTCTAGTCACGTGGTTGGTTCCTCTGGCAACCAGCCCCCATCCTTAGATGATCTAAGGGCATTCTAAAAGTCACCTCGTTAATATAGCAATGGATGCCTTCCTCGCGCTCCTGGAAATTCTAAGTTTTAGGAAGTTTGCCAGGAAACAGGGTCAAAGACCAAATATATATTTCTTATTATAAATTCTTCTTGTAAGGCCAGTCACAAAAGTTCAGGCCAGTTCAGGAAGGCAATTATTTCAGTCCCAGATGTGTCCCACACTCTCTGTGTCTTTGTTTTGACCCAGGTTTTCAATTTGCCTCATCCATCTTGTTACTTATAAATGTTTTCATTCAATGGTTGCTTTACAGCTTTGAAACTCAGAGGAATGGACTGGTGTTTATCTATGACATGTGCGGTTCTAATTATGCCAACTTTGAGCTGGATCTTGGCAAGAAAGTCCTAAACTTGCTGAAGGTAAGGCTGTGAAATGGCCCTTTCAACCCCCCTTCAATGGTTAGGGTGATTTTTTTCTATTCTTTATGAGATTTAGGAATGATGTAAACTTCAGACATTGTGTTCAGTTTAAAGGTCACCTGTAAATGATGACCAATATCTGCTTCCTCAGAACAAGAAACAATCTTAAAAGTAAAGTGGGAGGAATTAAAATAAAATACACAGGAACACTGAGTCATAAAGGTGGGATGTCTCTTTCTGGGAGTTTTTTTTTTTTTTTCGGTACGCGGGCCTCTCACTGTTGTGGCCTCTCCCGTTGCGGAGCACAGGCTCCGGACGCGCAGGCTCAGCGGCCATGGCTCACGGGCCTAGCCGCTCCGCGGCATGTGGGATCTTCCCGGACCGGGGCACGAACCCGTGTCCCCTGCATCAGCAGGCGGGCTCTCAACCACTGTGCCACCAGGGAAGCCCTCTTTCCGGGAGTTTTGTAGAATAAGAATTAATGAAGCCTAGGTATGGCCATTGTCTATGAAAAATGTCACCTAACCAGTAACTTGGCAGACTTTTTGTCTCAACCTAGTCAGAAATATGTTTTACATTGCAACTTAGTATACAATAATATCAATATATGTACACTAACTATACATATACATGTAAAGTTATATACATAGATAGGTTCTTAATCTCTTACCTCAAACTCTTAGGTCCAGAGATATTATTTAATATTTTGAACTTTAAAAGATAATATGGTCTGTATGTCACTTTAATATCAAATATTTCTGCAATGAAATGTATTATTCATATCATAACCTTTGGAGAAGAGCAAAGGTTATAAATAGCTTATGGGATTTCAGGTCAGATTTTGCTGTCCCATGAATTTTTGCACTAAACTTAAAAAAGAAACTAGTGGCTTTCAGAGCTGTTTAGATTTCAGAATTTGAGCATACAGGTGTATGTATGTGTGTGTACATATTTATAAAACAAAAAGTTTCACAAAACGAGCTTTACTTTTACTCTGTACAATCATTTTGATTATTCTGTTCTATAACATTTTAAAAACGTTAGTCATAACCTACTAAATTGATTTCAGGACCCACTGAGTGACAACCTGCCATTGGAAAAACATTGATCGAGGAGTCTGTGTAGTCTTTTTTTTTTTTTTTGGCCAAGCTGTGTGGCATGTGGGATCTTAGTTCCCCCACCACGTATTGAACCCATGCCCCCTGCATTGGCAGCGCAGAGTCTTAACCACTGGACCACCAGGGAAGTCCTGTAGGAGTCTGTGCAGTCTTTGTTCCGGGACCTCACTTGGGAGTATTGTGGAACTAGATGTTTAGAAGTGTTTATTTACTATTACAGCTTTACAACAGAAATTATATAAAGAGAGTATTATACTGCATGTTGTTTTCTGGGACTTCACTTGTGATTGTATTACTAAAATTCCTATTGTGGCATTTAGCTTTGATTCATTCCTTTTTATTGATGGGTGAAGGATTTATACCTTTTAATTCCTCATCCATTGATGAATACACCGGTTTATTTATCTACTTCTCTTGATGGCTCTTTGGGTCATTTTCTGATTTTTGCTATTGTGAACAGTGCTGCTATGAACATTTTTATACATGTCTTCTGGTGCATGTGTGCAAGAATATCTCTAGGGCAGTGTTTCTCAACCATTTTTTCATTATTGCCTCACTAAGGAGTCTTTTTTAGACTCCCCCCACCCCCAGTTGTTGTTCTTCTAATGAAATTTTAATACCACAGATATAATGTATATATCTTGATGTACTGAATGTATTAACGTATATATCTTGATGTACTGAACGTATATCTATGCTTTATGCACAAAAAGAGTGTGTATGTTTGGGTTGTTTTTCCCATTCCCCACTCTCCTCAGAACTAATTTCACCCCCTTGGATGTGATATCACCTCTATTGAAAATGCATGCTCTAGGGGAATTCCCTGGTAGTCCAGTGATTAGGACTCCGCACTTCCACTGCTGGGGGCCCGAGTTTGATCCCTGGTTGGGGAACTAGATCCCGCATGCATACCGCAACTAAGAGTGCACATGCTGCAACTAAGAAGCCCGCATGCCACAACTATGAACCCACATGCCGCAACAAAGGATCCTGCATGCCAAAACTAAGACCTGGTGCAGCCAAAATAAATAAATAAATATTAAAAAAAGAAAAGAAAAGAAAATGCATGCTCTAGAGTATACATCTAGGAGTAGAATTACTGGGTCGTAAGGTCTGGGAAGATTCAGTTTTATAAGATAGTGTTTAATCGTTTTCCTAAGTGGTTGTACCCACCTGCCATGTGTAAAATTTCCACATCCTCTCCAATACATGATAATGTCACACTTCTTAATTTTTCCCAATCGAGTGGGTATAAAATGGTATCTTGTGGTATAACTTACCTCTCTCTTATTAGTGAGATTAAGTATCCCTTCATATATTTATTGGCCATATATGTTTTCTTCTGCTGCAAAATGCCTGTTTATGGCTTTTACCCATTTTCCTATCATCCATTTATGTAGTTTTGTACTAATCTATTTCTCTGTGTGTGTGTATATGTACATACATATACTCTCAGTTTATAGCTTGTTTTTTCACTTTTTATACAGTCCTTTTGACTAATGTAAGTTCTTAGTTTTAGTATGATTAAATGAGTCTGTATTTTATTTTCTGCTTAATATGTTTTGCATTGTAAATCCTTCCCTATTCCAAAGTCAGAAAAAATATATTAGCTATTTTATTTTATTTTACTGCTGTACCACTGATTCCACCATGTGTATTAATGTTTTTAGTGATTTTTTTTATTGTGGTAAAATATACATAACAAAATTTACCATTTTAACCATTTTAAGCGTACAATTCAGTAGCATTAAGTACATTCACAATGCAACCCATCACCACTATCCATTTTCAAAACTATTCATCATCCCAAACAGAAACTCTGTGCCCGTTAATCAATATATCCCCACCCTGCCCCACAGCCCCTGGTAACCTTTATTCTACTTTCTGTCGCTATGAATTTGCCTTTTCTAGGTCCTCAAATAAGTGGAATCATGCAGCATTTGTCCTTTGTGTCTGATCACTTAGCATAATATTTTTAAGATTCATCCATATTGTAACATGTATCAGAATTTCATTCCTTTTTAAGGCTGAATAATATTTTATTGTACGTATATACCACGTGTTGTTAATCCATTCATCTGTCAAACAGTTGGGTTGTTTCCACTTTTTGGCTATTGTGAATAATGGTGCTATGAACATTGGTGTTACAGCATCTGTTTCAGTCCTTGCTTTCAGTTCTTTTGTGTATATGCCTAGAAGTGGAATTGTTGGATCACGTGGTAGTTCTATGTTTAACTTTTTGAGAAGCTATTTTCTTTTAAAAATTTAAAATTTTGTTTTTGTCATTTAAGACCTTAATCCATCTGGAGTTGATTTTTGAGTATGGTATGAGATGTAGGAATCTGACTTTTTTTTCCATATGGATAGCTAATTTTTTTCCAGTTTTGCATACTAAATAGTCCCTCCTTTCCACAACATAGGCTTTCTGTTTGTCAGTTTTAACAGAGTCACAATAACCTGGTAAGTTAATATACCACAGACAGTTTAATCATCTAACCATCTTTCTGTATTATTTATATTGTTTTCAGGTTTAAATAATACTATTATGATCATTTAAGCTTTTTCTTTTAAATTATTTTAAGAAGGTATTTCTAAGACATGGATTATTTGGCTAAAGATTATGAATATATTTAATCTCTCTTATACATTACTAGGTTACCCTCCATAAAAGTGGAAAAAAATTTACACTGTCACCAAGAAATACGGGTATCTATTTCCTTCAGCCATCCCAGTACTGCATTCCATAAATTTTTTCTTTTTTTTAACATCTTTATTGGAGTATAATTGCTTTACAATGGTGTGTTAGTTTCTGCTTTATAGCAAAGTGAATCAGCTGTACATATACATATATCCCCATATCTCCTCCCTCTTGCGTCTCCCTCCCATCCTCACTATCCCACCCCTCTGGGTGGTCACAGGGCACCGAGTTGATCTCGCTGAGCTATGTGGCTGCTTCCCACTAGCTATCTGTTTTACATTTGTTAGTGTATATATGTCCATGCCACTCTCTCACTTTGTCCCAGCTTACCCTTCCCGCTCCCCGTGTCCTCAGGTCCATTCTCTATGTCTGCATTTTTTTTTTTCACGTCACATGGGTAATGTACCACAAGGTTGGAAGGAGGCACATGTCACACAAGCGCATGAACACCCAATCATCACACTTATGAACTACAAAAGGATCGATGTCTGCATCTTTATTCCTATCCTGCCCCTAGGTTTTTCAGAACCTTTTTTTTTTTGGATTCCATATATATGTGTTAGGATACGGTATTTGTCTTTCTCTTTCTGACTTACTTCACTCTGTGTGACAGACTCTAGGTCCATCCACCTCACTACAAATAACTCAATTTCGTTTCTTTTTGTGGCTGAGTAATATTCCATTGTATATATGTGCCACATCTTCTTTATCCATTCATCTGTCGATGGACACTTAGGTTGCTTCCATGTCCTGGCTATTGTAACTAGAGCTGCAGTGAACATTGTGGTACGTGACTCTTTTTGAATTATGGTTTTCTCAGGATATATGCCCAGTAATGGGATGGCTGGGTCGTATGGTAGTTCTATTTTTACTTTCTTAAGGAACCTCCATACTGTTCTCCATAGTGGCTGTACCAATTTACATTCCCACCAACAGTGCAAGAGGGTTCCCTTTTCTCCGTACCCTCTCCAGCATTTATTGTTTGTAGATGTTTTGATGGCCATTCTGACTGGTGTGAGGTGTTACCTCATTGTAGTTTTGATTTGCATTTCTCTAAAGATAAATGATGTTGAACATCCTTTCATGTGTTTGTTGGCAGTCTGTATATCTTCTTTGTTGGCAATCTGTATATCTTGGAGAAATGCCTGTTTAGGTCTTCTGCCCATTTTTGGATTGGGTTGTTTGTTTTTTTGATACTGGGCTACATGAGCTGCTTATAAATTTTAGAGATTAATCCTTTGTCAGTTACTTCATTTGCAAATATTTTCTCCCACTCTGAGGGTTGTCTTTTCGTCTTGTTTATGTTTTCCTTTGCTGTGCAAAAGCTTTTAAGTTTCATAAGGTCCCATTTGTTTATTGTTGTTTTTATTTCCGTTCTCTAGGAGGTGGGTCAAAAAGGATCTTGCTGTGATTTATGTCATAGAGTGTTCTGCTTATGTTTTCCTCTTAGAGTTTTATAGTGTCTGGTCTTACATTTAGGTCTCTAATCCATTTTGAGTTTATTTTTGTGTATGGTGTTAGGGAGTGTTCTAATTTCACTCTTTTACATGCAGCTGTCCAGTTTTCCCAGCACCACTTAGGGAAGAGGCTGGCTTTTCTCCATTGTGTATTCTTGCCTCCTTTATCAAAAATAAGGTGACCATATGTGCATAGGTTTACCTCTGGGCTTTCTATCCTGTTCCGTTGATCTAAATTTCTTGTTTTTGTGCCAGTACCATATTGTCTTGATTTACTGTAGCTTTGTAGTATAGTCTGAAGTCAGGGAACCTGATTCCTCCAGCTCCGTTTTTCTTTCTCAAGATTGCATTGGCTATTCGGCATCTTTTGTGTTTCCATACAAATTGTGAAATTTTTTGTTCTAGTTCTGTGAAAAATGCCATTGGTAGTTTGATAAGGATTGCATTGAATCTGTAGCTTGCTTTGGGTAGTATAGTTATTTTCACAATGTTGAGTCTTCCAATCCAAGAACATGGTACATCTCTCCATCTGTTTGTATCATTTTTAATTTCTTTCATCAGTGTCTTATAGTTTTCTGCATACAGGTCTTTTGTCTCCTTAGGTAGGTTTATTCCTAGGCATTTTATTCTTTTTGTTGCAATGGTAAATGGGAGTGTTTCCTTAATTTCTGTTTCTGATCTTTTGTTCTTAGTGTATAGGAATGCAAGAGATTTCTGTGCATTAATTTTGTATCCTGCTACTTTACCAAATTCATTGATTAGCTCTAGTAGTTTTCTGGTAGCATGTTTAGGATTCTCTACGTACAGTATCATGTCATCTGCAAACAGTGACAGCTTTACTTCTTCTTTTCCGATTTGGATTCCTTTTATTTCTTTTTCTTCTCTGATTGCTGTGGCTAAAACTTCCAAAACTATGTTGAATAATAGTGGTGAGAGTGGACAACCTTGTCTTCTTCCTGATCTTAGAGGAAATGGTTTCAGTTTTTCACCGTAGAGAACAATGTTGGCTGTGGGTTTGTCATATATAGCCTTTATTATGTTGAGGTAAGTTCCCACTATGCCTACTTTCTGGAGGGTTTTTATCATAAATGGGTGTTGAATTTTGTCAAAAGCTTTTTCTGCATCTGTTGAGACGATCATATGGTTTTTTCTCCTTCAATTTGTTGATATGGTGTATCACACTGATGATTTGCATATATTGAAGAATCCTTGCATTCCTGGGGTAAGCCCCACTTGATCATGGTGTATGATCCTTTTAATGTGCTGTTGGATTCTGTTTGCTAGTATTTTGTTGAGGATTTTTGCATCTATGTTCATCAGTGATATTGGCCTGTAGTTTTCTTTCTTTGTGACATCCTTGTCTGGTTTTGGTATCAGGGTGATGGTGGCCTCATAGAATGAGTTTGGGAGTGTTCCTCCCTCTGCTATATTTTGGAAGAGTTTGAGAAGGATAGGTGTTAGCTCTTCTCTAAATGTTTGATGGAATTCACCTGTGAAGCCATCTGCTCCTGGGCTTCTGTTTGTTGGAAGATTTTTAATCAGTTTCAATTCCAGTGCTTGTGATTGGTCTGTTCATATTTTCTATTTCTTCCTGATTCAATCTTGGCAGGTTGTGCGTTTCTAAGAATTTGTCCATTTCTTCCAGGTTGTCCATTTTATTGGCATAGAATTGCTTGTAGTAATCTCTCATGATCTTTTGTATTTCTGCAGTGTCAGTTGTTACTTCTCCTTTTTCATTTCTAATTCTGTTGATTTGAGTCTTCTCACTTTTTTTCTTGATGAGTGTGGCTAATGGTTTATCAATTTTGTTTATCTTCTCAAAGAACCAGGTTTTAGTTTTATT